GGGAGGGAGGCTCTGGCGGAGGAGGAGGAGGGAGGGAGACTGATGGAGGAGGAGAAGGCAGGAGGGAGACTATGGCAGAGGAAAGGAGCCTGATGTTGAGGATGAGAGAGGGAGCTATGGCGGAGGAAGGAGAGAGGGAGACTATGTGGAGGGAGGTTTACTGATGGAGGAGGATGGGGGCAAGAGGGAGGCTGATGTGGAGGGAGGAGACGGTGGACGAAGGAGAGGGTGACTATGTGGAGGGAGGAAAGACTGATGGAGGAGCAACAAGAAGAAGAGCAAGACAAAGCAGAAGAAGAAACGAAAAGAAGAAAAAGAACTGAAGAGACTAAGAATAAGCGGATCGACGCAGATCGACGGCCAAGGCATAAAAAAAAAAAGCCATGAAACAGGGCCTATCAGACCCTGAAAAAAATTGCGGCCGCCGCCTAATTTTTTTTCCCCCTTTGGGCCGTAGGCTTGCGGTGCAAATTTTTTTTTTTGAGGTTTTTTGGGGTTGGCGCTGAGGGTGCCCGGGTGCCCTGCCCGGGGGGGTCACCCGGCCGGGCGACCTGGGGGGGCCCGGGCGCCCGGGCTGGAAAGCAAGCGTTATGTAGAATAACAATACAAGCAGCTTTTGTATTGGAGTCATGTTCAAATTTGCAGCCAATCATGAGTTAAAAATAAAAAACCATATATATATATATATATTTACGGAAAAAAATTATGTTCGCCCGAACATGTTTGCGAGCTGTTTACGCGAACGCGTGAACACGTTTGCCGTGCTATGCAGCCCGCAATACGTCGTTGACCAACTTTGGACACAGTGGCTCGTTGATTAGTATGTACTTGTTATTGGATATTATGATTATATGCAGACGGATGTGGGTAACATGAAATTGTTTATAACGGAAACAGTGTATAGAAGGTGACAAACATTGCTTCATACCCTTACCCCTTACCCCTTGCCATTTACCCCTTATCCCTTACCTCTAAACCCCTTACCCCTTACCTCTTACCCCTTACCCCTTACCCTACCCCTAACGTGTATACCCATGTCCCAAACCTCGAATTTCAAATGCATTTTTGACCAAAATGACCATGAAAATGTCAATTTCAATTTCGTTCAAAAAATATAAAATGTCCTTTTTGACAAAATCGTTGTGAATAGTCGCGTTTTCTGCAGTATGTCGTTTGGGCGGATAATATGATGGTCAAATCAAGCACTGGGTACCCCCCTTCCACCCTGTGGTTCGGCCGACATTGCCCCTTGCCTATTGAATTCCATGTGCACACCTGGACGAGTGTCTCATGGAAAGGCAATATAACAAGGGGGGAGTTGTTAAAAGCAAGGTTGCGGCAGATAGTTGAGAGTCTAGACACTGGCATGATGGAGGCCGCCCAAAATATTGAGAACGAAAGAATGAAGGAGAAGGAAAGGTGGGATCGAAACTCGCGTGTTCGACATGTGCCGATCGGAATTGGGGACCTCGTCCTAATGTAAGACTTGTCGCTAGAAAAAACCTGGGCAAGGAAGCTAGCCAATTGTTGGATGGGGCCGTTCCGGGTGCTTAAGCGATTAGATGGGGGAGCCTAATTTCTCGCTGAGTTGGATGGGGCCCGACTCAGAGATCCTGTCGAGGGTGCACGTTTGAGACTTTTTCGACCGAGAAAAACTCTTGAAATAGACCCAAAAGGGAAAGGAAAGGTCATGGTAACCGCAGAAGGAGTCATCTGCTATGAGAAGGGCGAGACCTCGAAACAAGGGTCATCGCCAAAGGCTCCGAGAAAACGGTACAAAGTCATGAGGCCTAAGTTGCCGAAAACTACGAAAATACGGAAGAGGCCGAGAGATGAGGACGAAGATGAGGATCGTATTCGAAATCGTCGGGTAAAGGAACGAAGGAGTGTGTCGCGAAAAACCTTGAGAACAAAGCGTGAGGGAGCAGAACGAAAACGCAGGAGGGAACGACAAGAGAAAAGGATGCGGAGGAGAAGACGGGTGCAGTGCTTCTCGTATAGAAGATTGTACTATAACCAGAGTATGGTAGAGATCAAAAGGAAGAGTATGTTCGGATGATCCGGAACAAGGAACCCTGTACTATAGTCAGAAGAAGGGAATGGGCTCGGGAAAGGATGCTTTTTGGGAAGGAAGGTGTACCATAGTCAGATGAGGTTAGTGACCGGGACCTTGAGAGAGAGAAAAAAGTGTGTCACGAGCCATGTACTGTAACTGGGTGAGGGGGTAGGACAAGGCCGCTTGCACGAGAGGGGTGTATCATGGAGAAAAATATGTGTACCATTGTCAGAAAAGGGGAGGTAATGGGGTGCCACCGATTGGGAGAACATCTACTAGTAAGCTCGCCAGGGACAGCGAAAATTGGGGTGTGGGCTGGTTGTCGGGCGGCTGCCTACCAGCCGAATGTTTTTTCTCCCAAGAAGAGGAAATTTCGAGCATGTTTTTTCTTATTTTTTTTCTTATTTTTTTTCTTGTTTTGAGAGATGTGTGCTTGTGGCTGTGTGACTTGGGCATGAGCTTCTGGGGTTCCGTACTAACCTTGGGATAAACGGGGGAGGCGATCGGGTCAATGGTGGCAAGTGGAGTCAAACGCGGATGGAAGATCAAGAGATTTCAGTGCAGTAATTAGGGAAGAAGGGGAAGGGTAACCAACATTGAGACTAAAGGTGGAAAATCCGAAGGGAGGGGTGGGATCAAGAAAAGACACACACGTTGATTATTGACGGCGAAGGGCTCGTCTAAGGCTCAAGATGCGGGCAATCACGGGGGTCAGTTCAGAATGATCGTTTGGTGATCAGGCTTTGGTGCGACCGCCACAATGACTCGGTACCCATAGGCCTCAGTACGACCAAGGTGTGACCACGCGGACCGACCTTGATTCGACCCCCAAGGCACGAGGACCGAATCGGTATATTCGGTCTTCAAGCGGCTTCGGCAAGATGGTGGCGGAGATCGTTATACTCTACTTCGATACGGGCGCCACAAAACGGGGGATGGGCCCGTCACGCTTGTCGCCAGTAAGCACGGGCAGCCGGTGGGGTCGTGGAGGAGCAAAGGGGTAATGGAAGTCGCCCCTACACGTCCCCCTTCAGCTCTGACCGACTGCTGCGTTTGAAAGGAATAAGGGGGAGGATCAAAATCAAGAAATGAGTGGGTATCAGGCCCTTCGCCAGCCGAGAGTGCGCGCGCACCCAGGTTCTTGATAACCGTCGAAGCAAGGACCGCTTGCGCCCGACTTTCTGTTAATCCCTGCGACGGAAGGAACTCGACAAAGGGAAAGTGCGTTCGCAGAATCACAGATCCGTCGAGGAAAGGGGGGGATAAAGCTTCGGAGTCTACAGGCAGCGGGCTTGTGAGGGGGAAAGTGACGAAGAGGTATGGTGGGAAAAGTGGAAATTTGGCAGAGCTTTGGAACAAGCAAGGAGGTAAGGCCTGATTGGGTGGACGAATGAGAAGAAGCATCAACAGAGGAGGGGGTTGCAGGGAAGGAGCTGAGATGAGCCCACAGGCGCCAAGGTTGAAGATGAGCCAGTGCGAATGAGCAAGACCCTCGATCGAACAAGAGAGTGGGAAAGGGAGTCGCAACCTGCATTGCCAACAAGAAAATATAGTTGAGATCTGGTGCGTGTGCACTGTAACCCGTCAATCCGAAGAACAGAAAAGAACTAAGGAAGGAGGCGAGAAAAAAGGGTAGGAGTCACTGGGGTGGGAATTCGCGAAACTCATGACTCCAATCCAAAAAACAACGAAGGGAAGGATGCTATTGGAAGGAAAGGGTACGAGGGTGGATAGGAGAAGAGTGAGCGGGAGCAGAAAAGCGAAGAAGAAGCAGAGGCGGGAGATGAAAATTCAGTCGAAAATTTCGACCTTGACGATTGACTTGGCCAACAGAGTAGGGATGAGGGGAAGGAAGGAGAGGAAAATAGTATAAAAGAGAGGGGAGGAGGGGAAAGAAAAAGGGGAGGAGGGACTCACGCGCACTGGGCGGGCGTACGAAATGCACAGGCGCACCCGGGCGCTCGAAGTGGAGCTTGCGAAGCCGCCGCAGACTGGTGCGCGGAGAGGCGTATGAAGTCGGTAGTCGGATCGCTCGGCAGCGGAGCGGACGCGTCCGACTCGGAGCTAGCGCTTCAGAGGGAGAGAGAGAACGAGAGAGGCAAAGCGAGGAAGAGAGAGAGGGAGAGGGAGAGGGGGAGAGTGTGAGAAAGAAAGAGAGAGAGAGAGTGAGAGACAACGGCCATAGCTGCCCTGCCGCTAAGTAGGAAGGGGTGATAAATCACACATACAGCAATGATGTAACACAAATCAAGTGATGTAGACGCAGACGAAAGGAAAACCCAAGGAACAGGGACAGAGAGAGGGTGAGAGAGAAGGTGGAGAGAAGGGAGAGGAGGAGAGAGAAAGAGAAAGAGAAAGCATCACCAATTTAATCCCGAACGCGATAGGCTCAATGAATATTGCAATAAAAAACAGCCCAAGCCCGAACCGAAAGTGGACAACACGTCCATAATCGTCAAAAACTATGTCCGGGTGTCTGGCGGATGACCCTACATGTTTCATCCGGCCGCCAGAGCCGGAATCGTCAGGAGTCGAAAACGTGGTGAGGATGAAACTAATGTTGTTGAACATCCTATTTAAACCAACTATCCTACCGTGATGCACAACATTCCTTCAAGGAAAAAAACCGCTAGTACCAAAGAGGGCCAATTGGGTATCCAACCCCAAACTACAGGCCACACGAGGACCTTAAACTGAATAACAGCCAAATAGTTCCTTAAAGGGCTCGAACTAACAACAAGCCTGTCGAAAAAACAAAAAGCAAAAAACAAAAAGCAAAAAACAAAAAACAACAACAAAAAACAAGAAGGCCCCCGGGCCTCACGATGAACCAATTATCACACCACGGGGTGCCCGCATAGCAACCCAACCGGACTCACGAGTCACGAGGCCGGCAGATACTCAAACTCAGCTCAATATGCACATACGTAACTCATATGCATATAGTCACATTGGTGCCCACATGGCCACTCCCTGGTCTCACAAGGCCCGTAAGCCAGGACCCCAAACGAAAAAAAAAAAAAAAAAAAACAATCTCAAAACGAGGCCTAACAGCGGCCTCACAAAGCCCAAGCCTTTCAACCCCTCAACCAGCTCAGACGGCCAGCCGCCTTATGCCATCAGTGCCTAGAGGTCGACAACCATCCTGTTTCTTCCAACCCGTCAACCATCTAACCCATTTCAACCACAAACCATCAAACTTCATCGAAAAACCAACTAACGCATTGTCAAAATAATCGTCCAAAAACCCTCTCAACCTCAACTCAACCTTGAGTGCAAACAGGAAAACCCCTTCAACACCGGGCATATTGGTAAACCGCTTAGCCCTATGTAAAAACGAGGTAATCACTGTCAGTTTTTGTCGCCTACTAGTGTACGAAACAACATCCTGCAGGTTTTGGAATCGTATCCTACCATTCTTCAGTCGGTAATTCTTATACACCGCTGCACATCGGATCCCCACTGGTCGTCCAAAATCCTTCAGAATACAACCCACGAATTCCCAACGTTCTGATCGATTCGTACATTCCAGAGACAAATTGGAGTCATAAGACTTCTCAAACCTCCCCAAGATCTTCCTTGCTTTCTTATCACCCTCAACATCTCCCTTTCTAAATTTCACAAAAACTGACACATCGTCAATCAGACGCACACCGTGGACCAAGGATCGATCTGTTCCTAGCGAGAGCAGAAAAATAAACTCTGAATAAGCACACAACATGCAAGCGATAGCAGGACTGGAGGCTTCCCCATAGGAATGTCGATCGTTTGACGGAGGATTTTTCCTCCCACCGTGGTGAATGTGTCTCGCAGGTCAAAGTCAACAAATCGTAATATATCATCAAATTCAACTGTGCTCCAACTTTCCGGCCTCCTCCCAGTCATTAACTTAGCTCCCTTCCCCCTTGCTTTAACCAACATCGCCAAAAATCAATAATCCAAGCCAGTGCATTCATGATGGAAGCATGCGGGAGATTGCAGAACATCTCCTTAACGTCATATGCAGCCGTCAACAGTTCCTCATTGTCAGCCACATCCTTGTTAATATAACGCATCTGCTTAACCAGGAGATCGGTATTCCGCAGATTGAAGTGAGATCTCTAGGGTAAGGTTCAAACCATCTTATTAACCACTCGCGAAATGATCCCAGATCCTTGCACGTTACACTCAGCGAAGGAGGGACTTATCGGTCTCTATTTCATAATATCTTTATGTTTAGGTATCACATACGCTTGCCCCAATCTTCCTTTCTTATCCCACTTAGAGAAGGCACTTAACCCTGCCTCCCTGTACTTAGCCTCCATTACCGACAGTACTGAACCTTCATCCCCACGCGCCTCTTCAAACCCTGGGTTATCCAAGAACAACTTATCCAGACCCTTACGATAGAAAACCGGACAACAGACCAAGGTATCACCAGGGTTATGATGTACAGGTGTGCACACTAACCCTTTTATTGCTTCCCGCCAATCCAGAACCTCTTCAGCCGAACAAAGAGAAGGATTAAATGCCTCATCCTGCCTGCATCTGTTAAGGCAATCCGAAATGTCCCTATCCCCAATCGATGGCACCAGGAACCCCACAATACTCATACACGAATCAATCTCCCTCTTGAAACGTCTTACCAGCTTACAACGCCGCGACACAGGTACGTTGCGATTATTCTAAAGCCAAGCTGGCGCCTGTTCCCATTCACTCAATCTACAACACACATGACCTTCCACTGTTGAAAGGCCCACAGCATGATCAACACATGCGCATTCCACTTCACCTTCCTTCGCAAATTGTCTAAAGTTGAGCAGCCTATCACCGATAGACTTGTTTTTCAACCATACAATACGCGATCGCCTCACCACCAATTCCTTCCAATCACAACAGACTTTCGCTGTTTTTATCAACTCATTACACAAAGAACGAATGCCAGATTTACACAGACGATGATCATACGTGATGCGCACCACCAGTCTTTCTCGTACATTCACCGAGAATCCACGACGGATAACCCCAGAGATGATAGAACGCAAGGAACAGTGAGTCTGTTTATTGGAAGAGGCACGGATCACTAGAAAACAATGAACAAGCAGACCAAAATCCCTAGCAGCCAACCCAACTCGCTCATCAAGTTTTAACAACAACCGAGCTAACACAGGTTTCAGATACAATAGCTTCGAACAGAAGGGAACAACTTTAACAAATTCCACCAAGCCATGCACCTGGAAGAGATGACGACCCTTCTTCAATGTACGTTGATAATCTCCTGATTTCACAATTGATGTGCCGAAGCGTCGCTTCAATACCTTCCAGTTGTCAATAAGTCGTCTGCCATTACTACACAACACGCGAACCGTATCGCTTCCTTTACTCAGGCAATGATCCAGAATGCAGCTCAGCGAAGAAGAAGACAGCCCAAGAGAGGAGGAAAGAACAACATGAGGTTGGATAGCCCGTACATTTAACTCCTTACCCTGCGCATACTTCAGTCTACACCTCTCCCTTCTACCAGGTTTTTTTCGCCTGGTCTTAGCTCGCTTATCTCGCTTATTCAAAAATGGATTCGTCAGTCGAATGAGGTTCTTCTCAACCACCAAAACATCATTCTCTTCGCAACGACAGATAGGCACCATAACATACTGTCCTATTCCACACCGTTGAAGCCATGCATATAGCCTATGATTACGTCAACCCCCATTAATCACAGCAGGATTAATACAACGATGAACATGCTCTTTCCACCGAACCGCCAACGATCTAGTAGTAGGTCCAATATAAACATGTTTCGACCATGGAGAAACTAACGCATACACCCAACTGCCTGTTCCATCCTTAAGATCAACTTCCGTCACCAATTCACTCACGTAATCAATCTATAAACTTCCTTGCCCACGGGATACAGCCCGCCAAAATCAACCGAATAACAATTTGACGAAAGAATCCATTGAATTCACTACCAAGCAAATAAGATCTTCTCACCTTATCATCACCTTCACCTTCCTTGTATTCGTTAATATTAACATCATCATCATCATCAGAATAAAAATTATCACCATCACGGAGCTTCCTACAATAGTGCGCCCAATACCAAAGGTAATCGCGTCCGGGTACCGAACCTAGAGCTCCGTCGAGTCATCGTTCTCCGCCGCTGAGCCTTCATGGTAGGAGGAAGAATCATCGGGAACTTCCTCAATCGACACTTCATCATCCTTCGCTTTGCGTTTATCAACCATCTTGCCTAATGCCTTGTCTGCCCGAAACTCCGCAAGGTCAGCGATCATTAGATCAATCGTCCGTAATTTCAAACCTGCTTCTCAACACATCATCTCCAGGCCAGATTTCTTCTAGTTGCGCAAATCCTTCTTTTGTTCTTCAATGTACAAAAACCTTCCGTTCGCATCACCTGTCGAGGTTGCATCGTCAACGAGGCACCTGCGAGGAGTCGCCTTCTTCCCTTTTCGTGCTGATCGAGTGGCAACCGCTTCCAGCCTGGTCTTCAGATTCGTAGCTCCCGGGGTTCGTTGCTTCGAGCATTCGCCTTCCGGTTGCTTTTGAAGTTGTTCCTTAAGCTTAAAGACCTCGCCCTCAGCCACGACCTGTTTGTCCTTCAATACTTCAGCTTCGAGAGCGGCGGCACGATGCATCTCCTTCATTTTGAGATACTCCTGCCTCCATTTGTCAGAATCCCGGAGGTTGTCAGTCCACCGTGGTTGCGGCGATCCCCGAACGGCGCAATCCGGAGTACTGATCACTATGTTACCACGCTTGTTTCCCGAGCGGAGTGCTTCCCCCTTCCATAGCTCATTTTCCTCCTTATCCTTCAGACTTTGTACTTTAAGACGGCTAACCTCCGTTCGCAGGCCTTCAAGCTCAGCTTCGAAGTTACCTTTTGACAACGCCGAAACCCTCAGCTCCTCAATCTCCTTTTTCATGGCAAAAATGTCATCATCCGCACTCTTCTTGGCAGCAACCTGACGCTTTAGCTCCGCAATCTCTCGTTGCAGTTTGCTTCCGGAATCCTCACCCACCTCACCTTCACTTGTCAGTAGCAGCTTCCTAAGCTTCTCGTTCTCCTTTCGTAACCGTTCCATGTCTTCCTTCAGTTTTGCATTGTCGTCTTCCTTCATTTTTAGCTTAGGACACACGTTCTCCATCCGCTTATCCAAACGCGCCCAAATTTCAGCTTCCAGCCTTTCCTGCTCCTTTCTCCATTCTTCTTTCCTGTCGTCTTCTTCTTTCAGCTTCCTCTTACGTTCTTCCTCTTCTTTCATCTTCGCCTCCTTTTCTTCATCCGTGACAGTCCTAGCGTAACACCGATCCAACTTTTCTTGATTCATCTTCCACCAATTAGGCCTTGGCTGGAAGGAGTAATTCGGGACAGCATAGCCAACATTCGCCGTAGAAGTTGCCGAAGCGGAAACAGAGTTGGGAGCAGGTAAGGTGAGACTCGGAAGAGGTGTGGCGTTAGCACCCGTTGCCGGGGCACACCCGAAGGCACGTCGCGGACAATCACGTTGGAAATGACTAGTCGACCCACAAGTATAACACGTCCTAACAGGATATTGGCCAGCCATCTTAGCCTACGACACCAGACAGCAGTTACGTCAAAGTCAACGCGCCACTCTACCGTAGTCTAATCTCTACGGAGGTTACAACATGGAAATGATGGTGATAAATCACACATACAACAATGATGTAACACAAATCAAGTGATGTAGACACAGACAAAAGGAAAACCCAAGGAACAGGGACAGAGAGAGGGTGAGAGAGAAGGTGGAGAGAAGGGAGAGGAGGAGAAAGAAAGAGAAAGAGAGCAGCACCAATTTAATCCCGAACGAGACAGGCTCAATGAATATTCCTGCAGTAAAAGTAGGAAGGGAATATGAGTGTGCGGGGGATATCCTAGGAGATCCTAGCTGGCGTGTGTGTGGGTGTGGACTAGTTTCACTGGTGGTCACAGGAGATCGGGCAACTTCGGTCGGTGTGATCTGCGCCATATCTGCTGATGTACGAGTCGGCTTCAAGATGGGTTCTTGACCAAATTTTGTGCGAGCATTGTGCGCCATCGCAAGTGCGTTGTTGGTTCTGTTGCGCGCGAGCAGCCGAGTCAGGGGTATCTGTCCACATGCATGCTGCAACAAAGTTGAGGTGAGTCTGATTGCGAGGGAATCAGAACTTGTGCCCGTTGTCCGCATACGCATCATCATCATTATCGTTATATTCATCATCATCATCGTCGTCATCGAAGCAAGCCACACGTCCTTAACGTCGTCACATATTATAGGGAGATTGCGAGTTACCGCGCGTTTTCGTAGTTGCCACGTGCAAGAAATCCGCATGCCGATGGCATCGTCTTCACGCATCCATTGCGCGTTGGGCAGCCGTTACCAGGCGCGTTGCAGTAGAGAACGGGCAGCGCTCGAGGCACCTGGGGTTCTGGAGCTAGAGGTCGTTAACATGGTGAGACGAGTCGTACTCGGGGCCATAGCTGAGCCAGCCGGTGGGTAGCTGAATGAGTCGTGTGGTGGTCACTCCGTGCGTGCCGCATTAGCGTGGGGAATCGAGTTTGGGCGACGCATAAGACGTACCAGGTGCAGGACAAGTCAACCCGTAAGTCGGGACCTGATCGGGAAGCTGTTGAGGTCACGGGCTGTTTTCGGCGTACAGTAGATAGGATCTGCCATTCGCAGTCTGAGCACAGAGCGCCAGGCAAGGGATTACGACTTGGTTCACGAGGAGACTATTTCGACGTTGGCATTTGTGAGTTTCGATGTCACTCTCATTCGGCGTGTATCGAGTCGCTCTTCCGCTTATGGTTCAAGATTATGACTGACTGTGCTCGTGAGTGCAATGTGGTTTGGTTTCTGCGATTCTCTATTTCTCCTTTCTCTTTCATTTGGTCTAAGCGCTGAGCGCTAGGTGGGGGATCACTTCTTGGCTCATTGATGATGATGAAGAGACTACCTCGACGTTGCGTTTTGTGAGCTCTGATGCCATTCGTCGTTCGGCGTGTGTCGAGTTGCTCTCCTGTCTTTGGTTCGAGGCGACGATTGTCTGTGCTCGTATGTGTGATGCGGTTGGATTTCTACAATTCGCTATTTTTCTTTTCTCCTTGCATTTTGGTCTGAGCACCAAGCGCCGAAGGGGGATCGAGGCCCCCGACGCCGTCAGAAAGAGAGAGAGAGAGAGAGAGAGAGAGAGAGAGAGAGAGAGAGAGAGAGAGAGAGAGAGAGAGAGAGAGAGAGAGAGAGAGAGA